GAGGCATCTTTCACATGTATGTTTGGCCTCTGTCACATCTTTGATCAGCTTTTTGAGTAAAAACAACAGAACCAATCACCAATCAACTTTATTTATTGCCTGGTCCCCAGACTTCCCTATTCGCGCACACTTCCTTCAGATCATCTGGGGGTGTCCTGAGGCGTTCCCAAAGCAGCTGAGATAAGATAAGATAATTTAAGATATACCTTTATTCGTCTCGCAGTGGAGAAATTTCAATGTCATCCTTGCGCACATTACAGCAGAGAAAGAAGGAAATAAGAGCTCTCAGATTGCACACATCAAATTGAGTCTATTATTTAAGATAATAGACAATATAATTGAAATAAGATAAAGAATAAAATAAAATAGAATCAACTCTGGGGCTGTAATTGCACTTGGTTCAGAGAATATGAATATGAGCAGAATTCATTCTGCATCAGTCTTCGCTGATAAAGTACAATATACAGTATATAGGACCCGCAACATGTCCTGGGTCTTCCCCGGTCTCCTTCCAGTGGAACGTTGAATGTTCATATATGTTGCTGAATGTCAAGTGTCCTGGATCATCACCACTAGAAAAAGTGAGAACGCTCGGGGAGGCCCACATTAAGGGAGGGCTCTGCTCCCACGAATGGACAGGCTATAGATCCAGGACTCAGGCTGCACAACAAGGACAGAGGACACGCAAGGCAGGGCTGAGGATGACCATATACAATTCAATCTGGAGAGACGAGGAGACAAAATGCATTTGAAGTATTTTATTGAAGGTAGTTTGGCGCCCTAGGCCCCGGTGCGGCGTTCAGTCAGCGAGGCTCCTGCGAGAGTGCGCGCACAATCCCCCGGGACCTAGGCACTGGTGGCGGCATTCGGGCAGCAGGAAGAGGCATGATTGAGGCAGGGTGAGAAAAGGAGGAGGAGGGGAGGCGGTGGTTTGCAAGGCTTCGAGAAGGCCGTAAAGTGGGAGTTTTTCCGCTTTTAAGCGGCTGGCCTGGCCGGCGTAGGTTGGTTGGAAATGGGCGTTTGCTGTGCGATAGGCTGGGGCTGCGAGGCCGGCCTGGAAGGGGTGGCTTTGCTGACGTCTTCCAAATTGAATTTCCGCGAGGCTGCATTTCAATCTGGAGAGACGAGGAGACAAAATGCATTTGAAGTATTTTATTGAAGGTAGTTTGGCGCCCTAGGCCCCGGTGCGGCGTTCAGTCAGCGAGGCTCCTGCGAGAGTGCGCGCACAATCCCCAAAAGGCTGTGTGTTTGATGGAGTTTTGCAGGCCTGGTTAGCAGGGGACGTCGTGCGTGCACCGCTATATATAAAGGCAACACTATTTATAAAGGCACCGCTATATATAAAGGCACCGCTATTTCTAAAGGCACCGCTATTTCTAAAGGCAACACTATTTCTAAAGGCAACACTATTTATAAAGGCACCGCTATATATAAAGGCACCGCTATTTCTAAAGGCACCGCTATTTATAAAGGCAACACTATTTCTAAAGGCACCGCTATTTATAAAGGCAACACTATTTATAAAGGCAACACTATTTATAAAGGCAACACTATTTATAAAGGCACCACTATTTATAAAGGCAACACTATGTATAAAGGCAACACTATATATAAAGGCAACACTATTTATAAAGGCACCACTATTTATAAAGGCAACACTATTTATAAAGGCACCACTATTTATAAAGGCAACACTATTTATAAAGACACCACTATTTATAAAGGCAACACTATTTATAAAGGCAACACTATTTATAAATGCTCAGCTGCTGCCGCCACCAGGGAGTTTGCAAGTGCTTTACGGAGATGCCAATAGGCGCTGGGCTGCCAGAATAGTCGAGTGTCAGGCCTGATGTATGAGGAGAGGGCAGATGATGACCAGCGACCCAACGGCTGAAGGGCAGAATGGGGAAGACCCAGGGAAGCAGCGCGCGTAGCTGCGCCTATCCGGAAAGAGTGAGCTGTGTAAAATGAGGGGACAAGTTACAAAGCAGCAGTACAGACTTGAGTTGGGCTCTGAACCAGTTAGATGCTGGAGCGAAGTGCGGCGCAGAGCTGGTGGAGGATGGACAGTGTGATGGGGCGCCTGTGGTCCGAGGAATGCGGGGTGCAGTTGTGAATGCCTTTGATGACGAGTTTGATTGATGGATCAGAGAATAGAGAGGAGAAAGCGAGGTTGTGACAGCGGGCCTGGAATTGTATCCCGGCGAGAAGAGAGCGAATGTAAGAGATCTTGTAGTGGAGATTGTCCGCACAGTGAACTATGAAGGCACAGATTGTGCAAGCAGAGGGCGGAATTAGGGGAATGCAGTGAGCGTAGCAAAAGCTGGAGTAGACTTTCCAAGCAAAACTGTACGATTTCCGCGTGGAAGGTGAGAGGCCCCTTTTCATGTAGGATGAAGCGGAGGAGAGGAGAAGGTGAAGAGACGGAGGGACTAGTCCAGGGCGAGGGATTCCATGGAGGGGATCTGGCATGGCGTTGAATTGGCAGAGGGGCAGAGGCGTCGGAACTCCTGGAATTTAAAGCGAGAGAGACAGTCAGCAATACAGTCAAGGTGACCGGGGACGTGACGAGCAGTGATGATGAAATTATTTAGGACTGAGAGCCATGTGATGCTTCTGAGGAAAGACATGACTTGGGGAGAGGACGAACGACCTCTGTTAATTATTTCTACCACGTCGAGATTGACACACATCACGGAATCCTTTTTCTGTGCCACGTATGGCTCCACAGCACGCAGGCTACGGTCACGGGATATATTTCATGGAGTGCGGAGGAGATGCTTCGAGGGAAAGAGTCGGGCCAGGGCCCGGCGAAACACTAGTCCTGGAAAAACCCCCAAAAACCCACGGACGGGGCTGCGTCCGTGAAGAAACGCAGGGCATCTGAGGACAGGATGACGTCGCTGTAGAAAAAGATACACCGTTCCAGCGGCTCAGGGGACAGGACCAGAATGCCAGGTCGGAGCGGCACCCAGCGTTCAGGCAGACAGCATCATTGAGGGAGGGGACGGAGCCAGCGAGGGAGAGGAGCCTGGAAATAAAAGAACGACCCTGAGGGATGATACGGATAGCATCATTGAGGTGCCCGAGGAGGGAGAGCAGCTGACGCTTCGAAAGTGACGGAGAGGACAAGGCAGACCGGGAGAAGCGCGGATGCGCCCAAGCTTGTCCGGCGGGAGGGAGGCCTCCACGGCGCGCGTGACGAGGCGGATGCCGAGAACTCCAAAGCGGTGGCGGGGCCGGTGGTCTTCTCCTCGGAGTGAAGGAATCCGAGGGCAGAGAAGGCGAGCTTGAGCTTGCGGAGAGAGCCCCCGGAGCAGTCTGAGGGTGGGTTGACTACGAGGGAATCATCGGGGAGATGCAGGACAGAGGGGAGCCGCGCGTAATTAAGCAGAATCCGACACGGCGCCTCCGAGAGATTGTTGAACAGAGAGGGACTACTCCGGCAGTCAAAGGTGAGGCGCACGGCGAAGAAGAACTCTGACGCCACTTGACCCCTGAACAGGCGCCAGTGGTCGGGGTGGATGGGCAGCAGCTCGAACGCGTCCGGGATGTCGGCCTTAGAGAGCCAGGAGCCGGGGCCAAAAGTCTTTATCAGCCTGATCGCGTGGTCCACGGTAGCGGACTGCAGGGAGAAGGGCGCTGGAGGGAAGGGGCTGTTGATGCTCGGGGCGGGCCCGGAGCGGGGACAGGAGAGGACGAATATGAGACGCTTCTTCCTGGAGTGCTTGCGGGTGGCGATGCCCATCGGGTTAGAGCGAGACGGAGAGAAGGGGCCAATGACGTAGCCCACGGACACCTCCCGCGCCCGAGCCGCGTGACGACTTGGGGCTCACGGAGAGCCGGGAAGAGGTTGCGGGACACGAGACGCCGAGGGACCTAAACAGAGCTTGCAGTCCAATGTGAGGGATTTAAACAGAGCTTGCAGTCCAAAGTGAGGTATTAAAACTGAGCTTGCAGTCCAAAGTGAGGTATTAAAACTGAGCCCGCAGTCCAAGTGAGGTGTTTAACTGAGAGCCTGCAGTCCAGTGTGAGGGAGTTAAACAACTTGTAGTCCAAAGTGAGGGATTAATACTGAGAGCTTGTAGTCCAGTGTGAGGGATTCAAACATTGCCTGCAGTCCTAAATGAGGGATTTATAACTGAGAGCTTGTAGTCCAAGTGAGGGATTAAAACCGAGAGCTGCAGTCCAGTGTGAGGGATTTAAACAGAGTTTACAGTCCAAGTGAGGGATTAACTGAGCCCGCAGTCCAAGTGAGGGGTTTAAACTGAGAGCCTGCAGTCCAGTGTGAAGGAGTTAAACAGAGCCTTCAGTCCAAAGTGAGGGATTAATACTGAGAGCTTGTAGTCCAAAGAGAGGATTAAAACTGAGAGCTTGCAGTCCAGTGTGAGGGATCCAAACAGAGCCTGCAGTCCTAAGTGAGGGATTAAACTGAGAGCTTGCAGTCCAATGTGAGGGATTCAAATTGAGAGCCGCAGTCCAAAGAGGGATTTAAACAGAGCTTGTAGTCCAAAGAGAGAGATTTAAACAGAGCTTGTAGTCCAAAGAGAGGGATTTAAACAGAGCTGCAGGCCAATGTGAGGGATTTAAACTGAGAGATTGCAGTCCAAAGTGAGGGATTAAAACTGAGAGCTTGCAGTCCAATGTGAGGGATTAAAATGGAGCTTGCAGTCAGAGTGAAGGATTTAAACTTAGAGCCGCAGTCCAAAGAGGGATTTAAGCAGAGCTTGTAGTCCAAGAGAGGGATTCAAAGAGAGAGCCGCAGTCCAAGGGAGGTTAAAGAGAGCCTGCAGACCAATGCGAGGGCTTTAAACTGAGAGCTTGCACACCAATGCGCGGGGCCAACTGAGCCTGCAGTACAAAGCGCGGGGCCAAAACCGAGCCTGCAGTACAATGCGAGGGGAATAAACCGTCCGCAGTCAGCATACTTACCCACAACGCCAGAAGACAAGGGAAAACACAACGGGACCACGCCGTACCGGCACGAGGAGGCAGGGATGCGCACAGCTCCCACCGCACCGGTCCAGACCGGCCGTATGCAGCAGCAGGCCGCGACGAGACGAGCAGCGGCGAACCCGCAGAAAGAGCCCGCAAAGGAGGAGAGCGGCAAAGACCCACGGACCACAGCACGAGACCCGCAGCAGGTGCAGCAACGCGGAGGAGGAGCAGACCACACGCAGCAAGACAGAGGACAGCAGGGACACGTACGAGTAAGCGTGAGTAGACGAAAGCGATTCCTCCAGAACGACTCTTTGCAAGGCTTCGAGAAGGCCGTAAAGTGGGAGTTTCTCCGCTTTTAAGCGGCTGGCCTGGCCGGCGTAGGTTGGTTGGTAGGGGTGGCTTTGCTGACGTCTTCCAAATTGAATTTCCGCGAGGCTGCATTACAGTACAATACAATTTATTCTTGTATAGCCCTAAATCACAACATAAGTCATCTCAGAGGACGTGACAAAACCAATTGGAAAAGATTCTAAGTGCTATGTAAAAGACAAAGTAATATAATGATGAAAAGAACCACAGTAGGTTCATCTAGGTCTGGGCAGACGTGTACAGTACATTTCCTTAGAACTATGCAATGGCTGGAGGAATAAACACAGCCAGGCCTACAAGCCCAGGTCCGTTACTTGTAAATCTTTGCCATAAGCCTACCTTTTGGTCTCATTTGACCCTCAGTGTGCCATCAACAGTGTGCATTTACATGTAAACACAGCAGCTGCATGTTCTAAAATCTGTCTGTCTATACCTTCCAAAGGAAAGGAATTAAAAATACAGAAAAATTCATGACCCCATGGTACAAAGGGGTTTGTACCATATCACTCACACATTATATGCTGACACGTATATATGTTTGTAGTGATAGGTAAAACTGGTGCACCCGGAGGAACCTGGAGCAGACACGGGGAGAATATTAAAACTGCTGAAATCGACTGCAGGACCTTCTTGCATAAAAAAAGAAAAAAAACTGTATTTTGTTCTATCTGTACCCAGAATCATATTTAGTTTGAATCAGAAGGATACATATTAATATTGTTCTCGATATTTCTAGGAGTTTGGTGGTTGTATTTGATCAATCAGATGTAAAAAAAATGGCAATATGTATAGCAGAGTTAAGTACATACAGTAAGTAAGTAGTAGTCTTTATTTATATACCGCCTTTTCACTGCAGATCTGAGTCTCAAAGCGGTTTACAATTGTTAGTTTTGGGCATTAATCTCTCACTCCACACAGAGATGGGAGCGAGGTCGCCAGTACAGGAGGCATATGCCAGACCTATTGTACATATTTTTAGTGGTAGGGGAAACCGGAGTACCCGGAGGAAACCTACTCAGACACGGGGAGAACATGCAAACTCCACTCAGAAAGGCCCTGGTCCGACCAGGATTTGAACCCAGGACCTTCTTGCTGAGAGGTGAGAGTGCTATCCACTCAGCCACTGGGCCGCCCAGAGGTTCAGTTTAGAGAAAACATGAATTGTAAAGTTCATTACCAATGTTAGCAACTGGAGTTCAGAGGTTCTAAGCCTTACAACAAGGAAAGTCATCACTATACTGGTGGATCTGAAGTTGGCTGGGTGATTCAGCGAACTTTGTTAGCGGCAGGGGGACACAGCGGGCCTTAGTTTGGACATGCCGCAAATACTATAAAAGTCATGGTCAAGATAAACAATGAACTTTACTGTATTTCAGGAATTTTACTGATCTTTGCTGGGAGATATTCCTTTAGTGCATGTTTTGGGTGGTGGGAGAAACCACAGCTTTGTCATTGGCTCAGCTTTCACCACCACCAGAGTCCAGATCCAGGGGTTTTGTCAGTATTCTGCCGGGGTTTAATCGCCAAATCTTAATGAACATTTCATATTCAAATACAATAAATACATTAGTACCTCATCATGCGTATGCTGGGACCAACTATATATATATATATATATTGGAATTATAAGTCACTGGATTGCACAGTATTTGTGTTTGAGCAGTTTTTAAGAAACAGGTGTGAGACACATTATTCTGGGTGCACAGTTCTCATCTTAAATAAAACTGGGGCATTTACTTGGCACCTTATAATCGTAGCAGATGAGGACTACTATTTAAACCAATGTGTGGTACAGATGTGGTGGAGGAGCTGAATTAGAGCTGAAACGGGTCTGTCCCATCAGAGAAGGCGCGGCTGTAGGTCTCAGGTTGGAGTAATGACAGGTTACAGAAGCAGCAGGGAGGCAGGAGCAAACTCCTCTGTACTCTGAGTAAACTAGTGCTGTTTGGCTCAACTTCATTTGTACAAGACATACTTTGTGTAAATAGCTAAAGTTGTTGTACTGTATTTTATAATGGTGGACCCCATTTTATAAGCTTTACATTCCATTTTTCACAAATGACACAAAATTTGACAGGAGCAGTCAGTACAAGTGGTCGGGAAGCCCAGAAAGTCAACACAGAATCAAACCCACCACTTTCCTCTTGTTATTGCAAAAAGAGCTTAAAAAGCTGAAAAGTCTTATTCAAAGTCACCATTCTTACTGACAACAACTTTTTTTTCTGTCAGTAGTAGATCTTTATAAACAATTGCTTCATTGTTGAATAGGAGAGACTATTTTGCATCTCCCAATACAACAGTCATCTCAAAAGACATCATTAAAAAAAAAACATTTGAAATACAATAATATAACATAAAAAATCGGTCCATAGGATACAGGTTAACTAATGTTCGTAAAGTGTGACAGAACATTCTACTACTTTGAGCGTATTTTTTTTGCGGGGGGGGGTCGATATAGGTGGAAGGTGAAAACTGAAACGTTGTACAGTAGCTGGAGAAGACAGGATTACTCAATATTTGAAGACAAAATGCTGTAGTTTAAGTCATGGTATATTCCTTTGTGCTGTGTTTAAAGCCATGTTATTGTAGTATAAGCAGAAGCAGCGGTCGGGAGGTGCAGAGCGGCAGAAGAGCAAAGGAGGAACAGAAGAATTTTCCCCTCAGTAAAAGTGTAGTTCACATTATGACCATGAAAGAGGAGCTCCTGTTTCCCGCTGCTCAGTGAAAAAAAACATCATAAACTCTACTCTTTACCAAACACTGTCTATACTTTAGACGACATGCTACTTATCACTACAATACTGTATGTCTGCCACATTATAGCAGTATCATATGTATGACAGTTAACAAAAAAGCTAAGGGGCACAGGTGTGTACGTGAATGAACATCTCACAAGAAAAAATGCTGAGATTGCTTATCAGGCACGACTGCTAAAAAAACAAAAGAAGATTCAAGATACATGGACAAGAAATTGCAAAGTTATGATCAAACTCACTGGTTCGCAGGAGCAAACCAAGATAATCACAATATGCGAATGTGAAGACTTGGACCAGTTCAGATAAGTTCACAAATTGCTTGGATACTGACAAAGTAAAAAACAAGATGGAGGAATCAACAGACTTCAAGGCTTTTGAGTACCAGGAATACAAGCCATATGATTTAGAAACAGACATTGATCCTGATGGTTATTTGTCTGAGAAATTAAACCTGGACTGTAGCTATTATTCTGAAAACGAAATTAAAGCATCAACAGATGAATTTTCTTTGATCCATTTTAATAGTAGGAGTCTCTATAAAAACATTAACAAAATAAAAGACTATTTAAGTGGATTTAACCCTCTAGGCGCCACGGTCGACTTAAGTCGACAAGCTGCGGTACTGTTAAAAACGGCCGAGTGTGTCCAACTGAGTGTCAAAATTCATTCATACTCCCTGCCACTAGTTGGCAGACATGTCAGACTACCTCCCTGGCCCCTAAAAACTTCATGCTCTCATACAAAATATTCGAGCAAGACCGCGTTGAACCAGTGCAGAAATCATTGTGAAGCGATGCAGCTGCGGGGCAGCCTGCGAGTGTTGTACCGCACCAAACACTAACTTTAGACACTTTGTACAGGGTCTGCAGTGGGAACAGTGTTTCTCAGAGTAAGGCAAAGTCATTGGGGGGTTTGGAGACAGGTTAGATTTGCGGAAAACAAGCCTGGAACTCGGGTCGGGGCGCCGCGCCGCGACCTCCCGCCTCCGCTCAAGTTTCCGCCAAAGTCTCCGCTAAAAGTGCTTCCCACATATTTATTTTCATGCCTCACGTAATCACCGGGACAGTAACGTGTTGGAGAAGCCTTGTCTTGTGTGTGTTAAATGAGAGAGAGAGCAGGGGAGATGAGAGAGAGAGAGTGGGGGAGACAGCTGCAGCAGGAGAGTCGCGGTGACGCGCTTCACCTGGAGGCGCGCGTCTGGGCAGACTGCTCACAGCAGCAGCATGATTTGTATTTTTTACTATTTTCATGAACATTTACAATGTTACAGTGTGAGTTCTGTGTGTGTTCATGTTCTAGTGATAAATATATGTCTGTCAGTTAGAAAAATACAAATATTGTATGAAAATTCTAAAATCCACTATTTCTAACGCCAAATGACGTCATAATATGCAAATTAGATGGGGGGATTTATTCTCTACATAAACTTTGGACCATTCTTTATATTTTTCTAATTTACAGAAAGCCTTTATCTCTTATCACTTTTAAGTTATAGCCTTTTGAAATTAAGATGTCAAAATTGAGCGTTTTGGAAAAAAACCTCTGGCGCTTAAAGGGTTAAGTTCAATTTTAGTGTTGTAGCAGTGTCCGAAACTTGGTTGCACAATGATAAGTTGGATTTTGAACTGGAAGGTTATGATTTATTTAAACAAAATCGGACAAACAAAAAGGGGGGAGGAGTTGCCCTCTTTGTAAAAAATGGTATAAAATGCAACATTATTAAGGATATGACATTTGCCGTAGATGAGCTACTCGAGTGTGTTTCTGTTGAGATTCAAAATGAATTGGTTAAGAAAAGTATTATAATTAGCTGTATCTATAGGACTCCTGGATCATGTATTGATGAATTTAATAGCAAATTATCTGAGTTATACTGTAAGCAAATTAACAAAAGTCTATTAGTATGTGGTGATTTTAATATTAATTTATTGAAATCCAGTGAACACATAAAAACAATGGATTTTGTAAACAACATGTTTGGTTTGGGTATGTACCCTTTAATATCAAAACCAAGCAGAATTACAAAGGACAGCGCCACATTGATTGATAATATCTTTCTCAACTTAATGGACAAAAAAATTCAAAGTGGACTACTTTTAACAGATATAAGTGATCATTTGCCAGTTTTTGTGGTTTTTGAAATGAAATGTAAGATTCATAGAGTAGATAACTATAAATTAGAGCGAATTAGACACCAAGAAAGCATTGAGGCCCTTAAAGTTGAGCTTTATAAT